GGATTGAGAGTTACGGTCTTGCGTCCTATGCACTGCAGACGCTTAAATTCCATGGGACCGTGGCCCGCTTAAATGGTCCTCCTAGGCTACAAGGAGCAACAGGGCTGTGCAATATTGCGGTACTACCAAGTACAAGATTCTTCTCTGTCTTATACTATCATAATATCGGTATAAATAAAAAACGAATACTTGTTTCTTTTCGCTGTTAGATTTCGCCAATAAAATCACGTATCAAACAATTTAATATAAAATTTAAAAATTAACTTTTCTCCCTTGCAGATTACTACAACCATTGTAGTGGGTTTATATGACTGCACTGTGCAAAATGTAGCCTGTTGGGGAGGGTATCATCACTGCAATATGAGTTCATTCAAAAATTTCTTCTGATTAATGACAAGAAGACGATGCCTTTCATGCGCGTTGGCATCCGCCAGTGTTGTCTGGTAATTACTGTTGATAAATTTTATTAATTGAATGAGTAGGTACCGCGCCCAGAGGTAGAAAATATCTCACTCGGAGAGGCCTGAATGAGGAGCCTGTTATTTGTAAATGATCTTTTCATGTTTGCTTCTTCGAATGATCACCTCCTGGTTGATTTCGATCGCTTTGCCTCTGTATGCAAATTTAGGTATAAAAAACCCGAGTTATGTGCCCTTGATCACCGTGCTTTGCAAATAAGTATTGTACAACTGTTAAAAGTAAAGAAGTTAGGTATTTCGGGGTATTCACTTAGTAGTACACCAAACCTGACGCTTGGATCAACCGGGCAAGCGCTATAACGCAAAAACTAAAGTTGCCTGTAGTGATAAAGAAAGAAGTGAGCCATAATGCAGAGCCATCGATGTTCTCAACATAGCAGAGGCCCCTAAGTTTTCATTCGATCATGGGTTTGTACCCAAAATGGCGATCCCGGATACAGGTCAGAGAAATGAGGTTTCCTTGAAGGATTGCTCCATGACAAGGAAATACCCCGTTAAATAGAAACCCTCGATTGCGAGTCACTTCTTCCGCAGGTGAGAAGATCACAATGGCCATAATTTGGTCACTTTATGAGGATTTAACAGGAAACCTTAACCGGATGGCTTCGAAATGCAAATTCAGATATCGCGAACCAGATGACCGAAGTACATATTGGGTAATCGGGAAAGTTTTTGAACCTTTCATTTTGAAGAAGTATGTCCCTGTTGAACCTCAGCATGTTTATTCAAAATGAGGACCGCTATGATCAAAACACTTATGCCTACTACCGCATTCATTCCACTCACATATAAATTTGCATATCTAGAATCAATAAGCTGCCGGAAGCTGTTTTGAACGTCCTTCTGTTTTCGAAAGATTTTCTCCTTGAAGAAGTTGTCTAGAGAGCGGAAGAAGTGAAGCAAAGAAACAACAAAAAAATCTATTTGAGGTGCACGTGATGAATCCGGACATCCAGTCACTTTTAATTTTCAACAAATCGATTGAACACTAGTAGGCGATAATAATAAATACCAACAAATTATTTGACACAAGGTTTTTAAGAAAGTAGATCATAGAATGCAGTACGAGGTGACATAATATAACAGCTAAGCACGAATGGTGCAGCGTTCTCTTTACTGTGACTTCAACGCTTTGTTTCTAAGCTCGGTTCTCAAAGGTCGTACAAAAACACTGGGCGACCGTTTTTCCACTGAGCAACAAGTTCGGTAGATTTTCGGTTATCGTATGTCCCAATGACGTACGCCTCGATCTTCATCGCTTTCGTGATACACACGTCTTAAATGTATTTTTCTATAGGGTTCCGGAATTTTTGCCCACACGGCAGCGTGTATATCTTTTCCCGGTTTCCGTTTATCATTGAGGGTTTCTCGACGAGTAATTGATTCGCAGCCTATTCGTAGTGCTCGCCGTCGCCAAAGTCCCCCAATTTTTCTTCGAATCAAATAGATTCAGAAAAGAGCACGTTGTGACATTGTGATCGGGGAAAGATATTACTGACAAGTGACGGGCGTCACTGCCGCCTTAACCCGTGGGTTCCTGCATCACTTCAAAGTATCAGGATATTTCATCGTTGGGGAGCAAAAATTTTTTTGAGATGTGTACAGTGATGTAAAACGAATTCCTTCCTCGCACATTGTAACATGAGAACTTGCAATGGTTTCCTTAGTCGTTATGTATGATGAGATCATCACTCTCAACCGTTTGCATACGCAGAACGCCTTTGGCTCCTGAAGTGCGCTGTATTCTCAGCTTTAAAGCACACTACTACAAGGCACTGGTTACTGCATCGCAAAGACATCGGTTACTCGGCTTCTTCAGCTTGAACGTTGGACCTTCATTTCATTCTTCAAACGACCTTGTTGATAGCAGCTTCATCATTGCCTGCTTTGGTAGAGAACATTAGAATATTCATTACATGTGAAATCCTTCTTGCTCTCATATGTATAGATCCTTTTCCTGAAAGCTTCAAATGGTTTCTATCTCTATTCACAATATGCATACGTTTATGATCATATGATATGATCACCAATTTGAACTATGTGAATAAACAGATCTCGGCTTGCCATGTCTGCCGTATTTTCAGCTTTTGAATACTATTAGTATAACACATCAGTTATTGCGTCGCAGAATGAACAGTCTCAGAAATAAGATCTGCTTATACCCTGCTCCTCCAGGTTGCATGCTGGCCTTCCGCTCGATTATTCTCGAGTTTGGCTAACATATCAGGAGCTCATGGGCTGGCATAAAAAGTTTATGGGCAGTCAATTTGTGGCTGGACCTGGCTTCTTTTCTTAATCACCACATCTACGGTCAGCAATGCCCGGAAGTGAAGTCATTCCTTACTTGGTTCTGCGATTTAAAGACTACTTTTCTGTCTACTTGAGAGTCCTAGAGGAAGTTGTTCTTCCGTTTTAATTTATGTAATTAATCTAATAGTCGTTCCTCTCAATGTATAAGCTATCCTACCTCATCAGCCCATTAAAACCTTACCTGACCTTGATTATCTTCTAAGCAAGCTAACTTTTTCAGTTGCCATCATTTTTCTTCGTATAAATGACAACGTATCCGAGGAAAAGACATCTACAATTTTTGCAAGTAATCATCTTCTGCCAAAACTAGGGGTTGAAAGTGGTGCAAT